AAAAAAAAAAAAAAAAAAAAAAAAGTTGTGTACCTAACAGAGAATATGATTTGGTAAATTCCAAAAACAGCATCCCTATGAATCAATTATTTGTATGACTTTGTTCCGTTTCTAAGTTGTGTTCATAAACTGCTCAAAATTAGTCTGAGGGCAACAAATAACCACCAGACCATGCTTTAAAAAATCCCAATTCATAGAAAACGTATAAAACTTTAAACCAAAGTTGTTTTTTCAAACAAATGTGGGTAAGAAACCCACTTTACAAACATGAGTGTTTCTAATCTACAGGGGATGGCCTCTAACAGCCCATAAAAGTAAGGGATTTAAAACTAAAACATTGTAACACTAATGGCCACTAGGAGGTGCTTTTTTATTTCAAATATTTGCACTGCATGTTTTCTATGAATGCATTAGTCTTCAACAATGTAGCCTATACTGGCCTCTTGTGGCAACATTGGAACCATTCAAAAGTTTGGACACAGATCCTCATTCAATGGTTTCTATTTTTATCACCGCTAGTAGGAGCTCCATTAAAATAGCTGGGAAAATTATTGTAGTATATGTGGTATTAGCTATTTTGTTGGCTTTTTTTATAAAGAATTTTAGCTTTAGAAAAAAAAGGTTTAATTTTTTGCCCTCCTTAAGCCCCTGTCACACCTTGACGATTTAGTCCAACAGATGCCAAACAAATTGCCATGTACATATACATACAGGTAAGTTATCTGATCGTTGACATACATTAAGTGTAAGTTACTCATCAGTTGTGGTGTCTAGCTTATCCAAAACCTTATGAGTAACTTCTCCTCCAGACTGCATCCCCATCATAGGGTGAACGAGAAGGGGCGTGTGATAGATGCTCCCTGTGTTCAAGGCCAGGATCAACAAACTTCCTAGCAGACATATCGCTGAATCTGCTTTGACTGAAAACCTTCTTTCTTTTGTTCTTTTTATGCTGGCTAAATCAGCAAGGTGTGACAGTGCCCTCAGCTTGTGGTTTATTGATTTTTGATTATTTCCGGTTTTGTCTCAGCTCACAATGAATTGTGTTCTTATCTCTAAATGTTGTTTTTCTCACCTTTGCCTACAGGAATCCCATACAAGCAACTCACAGTTGGCGTTCCCAAAGAAGTTTTCCAGAATGAGCGTCGTGTGGCTCTGTCTCCAGCTGGTGTCCAGGCTCTCATCAAGCAGGGCTTTAATGTCGTGGTGGAGTCTGGAGCCGGAGAGCCCTCCAAGTTCCCTGATGAACATTACACTCAGGCCGGAGCTGCAATTAAAGACGTGAAAGATGTGCTGGCATCTGATCTGTTGGTGAAGGTAGGCTTTAACTGATGGGGGAGGAAATAATCTTTAGTCAGTTTTTTCTAATAAAGAGTGCCTCCAGTTTAAGCCGTGCATACACAGCGCGATATTTTTTCAACGCAGCTGCAGCTGACACTGTACGACAAAACGGCAGGGTTTTGTCATACAGTGAGTTCAGAGCTCATGATATATGTTCTCACACTGTGCGACCCGATGCTCTGATGCATCTAACTGCTCACACTTTACGTTGGACTCAACTCTGCAGTGAGATGGCGCTACTCAGACTCGTCTATCCGGCAGCCAAACGAGTACAAGACGAATATGAAGCTCACTAGAGAGAAACGCGCTGCCTTGGCAATTTTGTATCCTGAAAGCCCTAAAAAGAAAAGGTGAAGACGTGTTTGAACAAAGACATGGCTGAGCAAATGTGACTACTACGGTCTTTCAGTTTTACAGAAAGAACTCCATTTCACCCACACCCCCGCCATTCTTCTGGGTTTTCATCTGAGAGTAAAAGAAGAAGAATCCTTGTTTGCGCATGCCCGCTGAGCGATTCGTATGTTTGATTTTCTCCCAACCTCCCATCTCCCAACGATTCCTGATCGGAAGGTGGTTGTGAGGGCCTGATCGTCCCTCGTTACCCCCTGTACACTACATGATGCAGGATCAGGTTGAAAGTCGGACCGATTGATAAATTCTCGCACGACTAGAAAGTCGGCCCGAAAAGGGCGAAAAGTTGTGAATTGTATGCTCGGCTTTATAGACTTCATAGAGATGCTGTCTAACTGTGGACTTGACAGTTCGGTCTCTCCTTTCAGTGTAAATACTAAACAACTGAAAGCCACAGTGGCATACTACATGTAGGTTTAAGTTGAATGGTGAATTTACTCCCTCATGCAGGCAGAACGAGATGAGTAATGAATTGATCTTATTAATTAAATCTTAGTTGTGCCGCTAAATCAGCTGGATTCATTTTATTCCAGGTGCGTGCTCCCACATTTAACCCTGCTTTGGGTGTTCACGAGGTGGACTTGATGAAGGAAGCTTCAACTTTAGTCAGCTTCATCTACCCAGCTCAGAACCCCGAACTGATGGAGATGCTGTCAAAGAAAAAGACCACAGTTCTGGCAATGGACCAGGTGCCCAGGGTCACCATTGCTCAGGGTTACGATGCGCTGAGCTCCATGGCAAACATTGCAGGGTAGGTACACAAGCTGCAACTCACTGCTTTTAAAAGTACATAAAATTACTATTCAGGTTCCTAGAGGAGAATGTTTTAGCAAGTAGGAAGGTGTATTGTATTTACATAAAATGTTTATTAACTGATTAATAATTGCGGTACTTTTACCAACATTTTGGTCATCAAGCTGAAAACTATGCAATTTTGAATAGTTGATTTTCACTGCCATAAGTATTCACCATAAGATTCAGCTGTCATATTTAAAGCTCAGGCAACAGTTTTGATTGTAGATTTATCAGCAGCTACAATGTCTAAGTTCAATTTTTGTCATTTCCTTCTGTATTTTACCTTATCTTATTCAGATACAAGGCAGTTGTTTTGGCAGCTAACAGTTTCGGACGTTTTTTCACTGGACAAATCACAGCAGCTGGGAAAGTGCCGCCTGCAAAGGTGAGAGTAGTGGGACTATCCATGGTTCTGCTGTTGTGTTTTACATGTTTACTGTCCAAGCTGCTTATTGCAGTTCTTACTTTACGCTCCAGCACTCCTTTGGTGACTCCCAGCCTTTTCTGTTTCCATGTCTGAGAATAGGTGCTGATTATTGGAGGAGGTGTGGCCGGTCTGGCAGCTGCAGGTACCGCCCGGGCCATGGGAGCCATTGTCCGAGGTTTTGATACCAGGTTGGTGTTCAAGGTTAATTATTTCTGCATTAATCATTGAAAATGACGCAAAGATATTATAGCAACTTCAGCAATTTTGGGGGTTTTGTTTTTTTTTTGTTTTTTTTTGTGCAATTTTTGTTCAGGATCAGAGATTATTAAATATAGATAAAATGTATGTTTATTTCTTTTTGAGGATTGTCTTATTTACTCTTATCATAATTGTTTTAAAGTTTATCTACATTTTTTTCTTTAACCAATGATCCAAATACCTTATTATTTGTTATTCATATGTCTGATACATTACCCTGTATATTAGCAGATCACTACTGGGTCAGCTTCCGTTAATTTGTGTCCAACTGTTTTCTCCCCTTTTTCACCTCTCTCCTTCAGAGCTGCAGCTTTGGAGCAGTTTAAGTCTCTCGGTGCAGAGCCCCTTGAAGTGGACATAAAGGAGTCAGGAGAGGGCCAGGGAGGTTACGCCAAGGAAATGTCGAAGGAGTTCATAGAGGCAGAGATGAAACTGTTTGCCAAACAGTGTCAGGAAGTGGACATTGTCATCAGCACAGCTCTAATTCCAGGTATACTCACTCGGTAGCTAAAAACACTTTTTGCATGCTGGTTATCTAAACGACAGCTACGCTGCTCATGGTCAGTAAAAAAAAAAAAAGAAAAAGTTTTTATATCTGCTGGAAATAACAATATGAATCTTTTATGAAGGAAATGATGGATAAAGACAAGATAATGAAATTATTTCTAACAGCCTCTATACCCTGCTATAAAAGATTTATTATTTTTAACACCTTTAATGCTGTGATACTGCAGGTAGGCGGGCTCCAATTCTTATCACCAAACCAATGGTAGAGAGCATGAAGGACGGTTCAGTTGTGGTGGATTTGGCTGCTGAAGCTGGAGGAAACATTGAGACCACGGTTCCAGGAGAGCTTTCCGTATACAAGGTGAGTTGCTGCAAGGCAACAGTGATGCAAACTGCGCCACCTTGCAGCCAGTTTTGGATGCGTTCAACAAATTAAAATAATATTTTTTTTTCTTTAACGTTTTTTTGTTTTGTTTTGCATTAGTGGCATTTATTTGAAAGTTGAGATTGTGTTGAGAGGGAAAGACTTGGTAAAAGTTAACAGGTCATTTGGAGGACAGGCCCCTACACATCATGGGTCACAAACTAACGTGCCACCACAGTGGCCACTCCTGAATCAAATTCTGTGCTTATGAAATGGATTGCCATTTATTTAAAACTGTCATCACAATACCACTTTGTAGAATTGCATTAAATGTGTCCAATTCAAATATTTACTCACTATCAGAGGTGGGTGATTGCAATAAATTAAAACCACACTAATTTAGTATTTTATCAGAGGTTCTCCAATGTCAGAAATAGTCATTACCTTTACCTCATTGCTATGGCTTTTGTTACTTTTACCTCATGCAGTGATGGCTTTCATTCACTAAAGTCTCTTCTGAGTTTTTTTTTAGCCAGGGTTAGGGTTAGCCAGATTTTTAGATAAACATAATAAGCTGAATGTATAAACTACAGTCTCATGATTCACTAGATACGAGGTGCTTTTAAAATGAGGTGACAGAAGCATGACTATGCTGATGCGCTGATACAAACGTGGTTAAACAGCTAAAATTTTATTTAAACGTGCTTGCATGTGATTTATTTTGCTTTTCTTTTCTAAAGTAACTATTTTATCATTCTCTATTTGTGATTATTTTAGGGAGTGACTCACATTGGCTACACAGACCTGCCCAGTCGCTTGCCAACACAGTCCAGCACTCTGTACTCCAACAACATCACTAAGCTGCTGCGAGCAATCAGCCCTGATAAGGAAAACTTTTACCTTGATGTCAAGGAGGCTTTTGATTATGGGACCATGGATCACGTTGTGCGGGGCTCCATTGTCATGCAGGTACAAGGTCTTAACCATTGTTGGTCTTTTTGGTGATGCTTTGAAATGCAGTACAAATATAATGGAGTTTAGTGTGTATATTGATTTTAAAGCAACAATAATGGTGAAAAAGAAAAAAGTGAGAAATTTTTCACTTGAACTTAAAACGAAAACACAAAAAAACAAACGGCTCAAGTAAGGTGGCATTAAGGCACCGGTCCACTGGAATTGAATCAAAACAAGAATTCTTTTTTCTTTAACTACACCTTGATGATAAAAATGTTTCAAAGAGGTTCACCCTTCTCCACCTAACCAGTGCCCATCAAAGCAAATGTCAAACTTAAAGTTGATTGAATTTAAAACAAAGGATTCTCTCATACACTAATACAAAACAACAAAAGCATGGCCTAAATATTGTTTAAAAGTTTATATGTAGCTAAATAAAGTATTTTAAGTTGACAATAAATACTCCTCCCACACCTGATGTAAAACATTATTTAAATACCTACTTTCTGTGAAAATTGAACAAACAAAAAAATTGAGTTTCCTAATTTTTAGGGAGATGTGTATGGTCATTTGTTTTGAGGAATACAAATTGTCATTATATTGTATTTTGGACAGCTCCACTATGCACATAGTCAATGTGAGAATAAATTTTGAACTCCGTTTTCATTGGTTCCTCTTTGTAGCAGCTGCATTTATTACACTAAATGCTACGTTTGCCCCCATGATACAAAACTAGAGGGCATCAGGATTCCTCTCTGCTAAAACAGCATCTATTTATTTATTTTTTTTTGGATCGTGTATCAAACAGACATGTGTATGGACGTGGTGAATGGGTATTCATCAAGACATTTTAATCGGGCTTGTTAATAAGCTATAAAAAAACATATTTGAGGAGCTTGCAGCTCTAAAATGTTGTCGGCATTTATTAAGATTCTGAGCTTTGTTTTCATTGTAAAATCTGATGTCTGCAGGGAGTTGCTCTTTAACCCTCTTTCCAAAACGTATATGTACTGTTACACCTCTGCTCTGTGTTTTAAATCTCTTTACCAGTGAGTTTATTTTACAAAGTAAAATGCAGAGAATAAATCGGAGCATGTAGATGCCTTCATTAGTCACTAGGTGTCCCTCAAGGACAAAACTATTCCCTCTGCTCTCAGCCTGTTTACAGCTACAGATAAGGCCATACCCTTATTTTTGCTTACCACCAATGTTAAAAAAAAACCTGTAAATGTCCTTGATATGTGTAATTGTACTACTTTATAACTTTAAACACAATCATTTGACAACAAATTATAACAAAATAACAAAGTGTTCCTTTGATACAACATCCCTCCCACTTCTTAATGACCTCATTTATCTTTAATATAGTATTTAAAAGCCACAATTGTGACATAATGTCTTTGAACAGTTTCATTTTTCTATTTTAATTTTTTATCTGTCCCCTCTTTTGTTTCTAGAATGGAAAGAACTTGTTCCCCGCTCCGCAGCCCAACAACGTTCCCACTGCGGCGCCTCCTAAACCCAAGAGCGTTCAGGAGTTGGAGGCGGAGAAGGCTGCACAGATCTCCCCCTTCAGGGCTACACTCACCCAAGCTAGCTTGTACACTGGAGGTTTGTAGTTTGGGCGAGTCTGATAATGCTACTATAATTTGATTCTTCATTAGGGAAAATTACACATGTCCAGATTTCTCTTTCATCACTGTTAATGGTTAGCAGTGGCTCCTGAGGGAGGCGGAGGTGTACTGAAAGGTGAAGGACGGGTTAACAAGCAGCTTTTTAAGTCGCTGCTGGAATGTGTGCTGGAGACGAGAACTGACGGGCACATTTCGAAGGCGCATACACACACAGACACACATGCACCCTGTTGGTCTCAGGAAGTTTGCATTGTAAAAAACGTTTTATACTGGTCGTTTGAAGTAGAGTTGGGGTGAGGGGTTCTCATAATGCTGCACAGCGCATGGTGTAAGTCAACCGCATGTAATGTAGGTTTCAGTTTTTTTCTAGATGTTGGCCTGTTTCCTGCTCCACTATATAGCCACTGCTTCCAATAGTAACTTACACTTTAAATGGCTTTTTTTTAAATGGCTCTTTATCAGAATGGATAGATGGCTTTTACAAAAATAACCATAATTTAATAACAAAAACAAACATGCATGCATAAAGTTAGAGATGTTTATTATTACTATTGCACAGTTAAGTATTTTTAGTCATATTCTGCTTAGGAATTTAGTTTCATGGCAGTGTTTTAGAAAAAAACAAAAACAAACTAAAACCATTTCACTGCAATCTGTTATAAATGAAGAGTTCACTTGCAAAAACAGATAAATGTCATTTTTGAAAGGAAAAAAAAAGGAGCTGAAGCATGTAATTTACTCTTTGCAAGGTGTTGCTAATGAAAAGTATGTTTTTTTAAATTATTTTTTTAGTTATATGTTTTTGCAAATGAACTCTTTGTGTATGTGTGTGTGTGTATGTGTATGTGTATGTATGTATGTATATGTATATATATATATATATATATATATATATTTTTTTTTTTTTTCTCAATAAAATAGTTATTACTGAAGAATTCATTAACTCAAAATGATTTAGCCTTTTACTTCTGCCACATGTGATGATGTAGTCCTGTTTCAAATATAGGACGTTTTTCTCAAATTCTATACAAGCGAAGAATGTTAAAAATTAAGAGCAATAAATGGAGGTTTTAAAAAACTGAAAAATTTATATGTTTATGACTATTCACAACTTATTACTTTCCAGTCTCAGGTCCTCTGTAATACATCTCGACAAATATAGCACATCACTATCCCCTCAGGCTCCGTTCGGTTGGTGTGTTCATGGCTGCATGTTTCAGCTCTTTGTCATGTTTAAGATTGTCACCTTAGAGTTTCACCCTGGATCAGGTTTTTTGAATACATTTTTTAAAATCCTGTTATCTTTAATTTGTCTAGGTTAGGCACTTTGGAAAAAAAACAAAAACACTTTTATTGCCACTATTTTTCCTTGGTTCTTAGTCTGTGCTATTTCAGCTTTAAGGTTCTATAAAGACAAGTGTGTGGTTTTAATTCCAAATTATTTCTATTAAAGCCCAGGGCTTCTTAAATGTATTTCAATTAGAAATAAGTATAATGGAACTTAGGTTGGAGCCCAAGAGAGACTTGTGTTTTCCTGAAACCTGCTTTGATGTCTCACAGGCAGCTCTGAATTTGTTTCCTGTTTCTGTGTTCAGGTATCGGCACCCTGCTTGGTCTGGGCTTGTCGGCTCCTAACGCCGCCTTCACTCAGATGGTCACCACCTTTGGTCTGGCTGGCATCGTGGGATACCACACAGTTTGGGGCGTCACTCCTGCTCTGCACTCTCCGCTCATGTCTGTCACCAATGCCATCTCAGGTTAGTTGAGGGGGGGTGGGTTATTATCCCAAAAAGAGGTGTGTGTCTGTTAGGAACAAACAGGACTCCTACATTGTCTTAATCCCCTGTTAGACCTTGACGATTTAGCCAGCGTATGCCTGACATCCCAGAATCTTTTAAAACACTGGCATACGCTGAACTTTCTATGTCTTTTTTTTTTTTTCTCCAATGTTGAGCGTATAAATAGAGTATTCATCACGAGTCCAGAGTGTATGTTCAACAACAGCTTAACTTATGGAAAAGACACGCCAGCGTAATGCCCATGAAACATGAAGGAAGCAGTGAAGCGCCAGGAGGTGCTCGGCCTACATAAAATGATTTCTTTGATCGCAGTATTAACCTAGCTACTGTTTACTGTTTGCCATAAAAAAAGAAAAAAATAATAAATAAATAAAGAAGGTTTGCAGACGCATCAGATTCAGCGCCATGTCTGCTAGGAAGTTTGTTGGTCGTGGTTGTGGCGTGAACGCAGGGAGGATCCCTCACACTGACCTTCTCACTCACCCTACGATGGGGATGAAGTCTGGAGGAGCACTGACGGTTTCCTTCTGTGAACCTTTAATACCAAAAACGCTGCCAGTACGCCATTATACAGTAGCTCTTAGTTAGAAACACTTTCAGTGGTCGTTTGGAAGATGTCAAATATGTTATGCGTTGGAGATAAGTCCTTGACTAGTTACGCATAAGTTTTGGATAAGCCACAACTTGAGTAACTTTCACTTATTGTATGTGAGAGTGTATATGATCAGATAACTTACCTGTAACTTATGGCCCACATATGACATACGCTGGCATCCAGATGTACTGGCTGTATGTCGATGTGTGCCAGTGTTTTGCAGCGTGCTTCAGCTGGTTTATAACTCATACAAAACTGACCAATAACTTATCCAACGTATGCTAGCATTTTGGCCAGATTTTTCATACGTCTGCTTACACTGGCTAACTCATCAAGGTGTGACAGGGGAGTTAAAAAAATTTGCTATGGATAAACATGTAAATATGACAGGTTTAGAAAATGTAGATTTCTACACTTAATTTGTTCCATAATTATTATATGAAAAAAATGGGTGCCCCACCCATCTGTCTAGTCTTTGGTTTTTCTGTTTTTCAATCAATCTACCAACCCTCCAATTATGTTTCCATTGTTTTATAATTTTTTATCTGTACTCTAGTTTGCATCCATCAACCTATTTCCATTCAGCCATTTGACAGTCGGTGTGTCCATCTGTATGTCCTTTCTTATTGAACCATTCACCCATCTATTACCGTCCAGCTTTCCATTTATTCTTTATCGATCTATCACCTTGTAGTTTTTGCATCTATTTATTCATTTAACCTTTCCTCCATTGTCTGTTCGATCCATCTGCATATTTCTTTTCCCTATATTAGTTTTTTCTTCCATTCATCTGGGAGTTTAGATATTTTAGGCAGGTTCAGACTGTCCATCCATTATTGCTTAAAAAGGGGACTTTTTAAATTTTAGTTCAAAAGTATGTGGTGACCCTCTAACAAAAGGCTCCAAATCATCTTTGGTGTTAATTTCCCTTATTAAAGTATTTTCAGATAACTGGTATTACCATTGATGAGCCGTAACGTGTCAGAAATTGAAACCAAAGAAGAGAACTGAGCGAGTTGGATGTCATGACAACATCCTATTTTTATGTTGGTTTTTTTTCGTCAGTGAAAGGTTGAGGGGCTACATGTACGCGTGTTCTCAGGGCTTTGATCATGGTGAAACAGGAAGTCTCACTCTGTTGGTGATCTTCAAAGTTCATTGAGTTCTTCCCTCTTGAACACAGTTGGATATCAGTTATCAAGTCCAAACTGTTTATCAACTAACAACATGTCAACTAACATTTGACACTTATTTTAAATGTAAAACTTAAGTCCTCAATTCAAGTAGCCCCTTTAAGAGGTTGGTTCTTCTGCTTGTCTGCTTGTGATTTGAAGATTTTTTAAATGTTTTAATTTATTTCTCTGAAAAACACAAGCTTCATTTTAACATTGGATGAAAAGGGGAACTGAGCCTGAATTTTATTTCAAAGATTTTTTTTTTGTACTGCCTGCCACCTTGTCCTTTTCTTTTACTTTCTCTATGTTCTTTGGCCAGACTTTCTGTGGTTGTATAAATGTTTCACACATATCACTGGATGGGTCATCGAAGTAGTCAGATCTTCTTCTTGTCTTTTTTGCAGGGCGTGTACGAATGGAGTCAAAAACTTTTAGGTTGGCAGACAAAGTGGGGGAGGTTTTAGTGCTGGACAGTTATGTTATTTCTTTTGTCATTAATATATGATAATGGTCTTGTATATAGTTGAAAACTAAAGATCATTTGTCACATCTGCTGGCTGGAGAGAGAAGCTTTCATCTATTTGAGAGCCCTGACTCAGTGTCTACCTATTTGTTCGAGGAGATCGAATGTTTGTCACAGAGTCAAAATATCATCTACACCTGTGTTTGTGTCATAGTTGGCATCAAGATTTGTCTGATGGTGTTTTTTGGCTTTTTGACTGATATGTTCATTGTTAGGGCCAGACAATCCCTTTGGGCCTAAAATTAGGTGTGTAGCGTTTTGATTTTCAATATTTCGTATCAGCAGTGATTCATTTTCTGTCATTTATCTATTGGATTTTTTTCTTGAAAGTTCGTGCCTTCATTATTTGGATAGCTTTTATATCAGCTTGCTTCTCAGTTATCTGTGAGGAATATTAAGCAACTTTCATCAACTTTTTGGTTAAATATCTTCTTCCAGAACCAGACCCAATTACTGCATGGCCTGTAAAGGCCCTAAATCTTTTCTTTAGTAGGTTAAATAATATTAGAAGCAAATTGATTATACAAACCTCAGAATTAAAGAACAGATGAGAAACAAGGCTGTTTAACTCTAAAATCCTAGTGAGGTTACACTGATATTGGTGTATTTTCCTTGTAATGAATAAAATGGCAATAAATGCATTCTGATTCTCTGATTAAAGCCAAGTTTAAGTTTTTGAGTCTCCAGTGATTTGCAGTGAGTGCCAATATCAACAAGTGTAGAAAACGTGGAACAGTGTTGAACTTTCCTTGGAGCAACCATATTACTCCAAAAGGGCACCGACCACTCATCCAAGAGGCAGTAGAAGAACACAGAACACCTCAGTTATAGTTAGTCTTAATAATCCAATAGGATAACATCTGGTGGTCAAAAACGACAGCAAAACAAACACCTGGTTCCCATTTCTCATTTAACATCTCAATACTTTCTAAGTGTTATGGGAAATATTTTTAGGGTAAAAGAGACAAAAGTGATTTTTTTTTTTCTTTCTGTGCATCTAGATTGATCTTGTTTAGATAATGCCCCAATTACACTACCCCTCTGAAACCGATCCGAGCTGAGTTCGGACAGAGTTTGGATCAGTTAAGCATGCCGAGCTTAATTCTTACAACCATTTACACATCAAGCTAGCATGGTTCCTCACCTCCTATTGGCGTTGTATGATACTACTCTCAAGGCGGGAATTATGCAAACAAAAATGGCGGCACCCATAACATTTAGGAACTTATGTGCCCGGATCAGTGTCCTTCGCCCAAATTCAAATGTCTCTGCATCATCCCAGGTCACACCACGTTCTTTTGATACCAGTTATTGTAATAGGCTGAGAAGAAGTCCATGTTGTGAACAGGTGAAAAGATCTGGGAATTGCAAAGCCGAACACACCGGAAAACCTGGGAAAAGAGTCAGCTGACTTTAAATAAGAGATGACACAGTCTGCCCATGTTATCAGAGAACTGAGCCACAACTGAACCGTGCTGAGCCCTACTGTTGAACTAGTTCCAGATTTAGCGCAGTTTGGTTGTGTCTGGCACGGTTCAGTTCAGTTGTGTTCCATTTACACTCAGTTATCTCGGTTACCGTGCTTGGAGGGATCTCTGCAAGGCTTCAAAAGACCAGTGTAAATGGGGCAACTTGACATATTAAAACCATGAATTAAACAATTTTCAATTAAAGGGGAAACATTTTTATGCCCCAACCAAAGTTTGTTTCAGAATATTTAAATGCAGTATCTATTTTTAGATTGGTTGAAAAAATAATGGCTAGACAAATGATGTATAGCTGCAGCCCTGTTTGTTTGTATGATCTTAATTTGTTTGTCCATCATCTATCTCTCTGTTATCTGTTTAAGTTGTTTATTCATCCATCCTTTGTGTTTCTCAGCATCTGTCCCTTTGTCCATCATCATGCATCTTACATTTGGTTTATTATCCCATCCCAATTTTTTTTTTTGCTCACTGAGCTTTTGTATATGATCTAAGAAATGTGCAATGTAAGGTTATTTAACTTGAAGAATGTGTAGAAACCCTATATTCAGATGTTTGTAAAGCTTGTCATTCTGCCAGATCGTCTTCTACCACCATATCTTGATATTGTTTCTTGCTTTGTTCACCTCTTTGATTTTAGTACGGATCTTAAATGAGCTTGTAATTACATAATAAAAGTTGAGGAATGATGTTTGGCAACACTGGAAACTTTGTATAAGGTCTGATATACAAACATGATTGTAAAGCCAGCCTTGGCAGAGAAATAAGGTTAAACTTCCACTTTTTCTTTTTTCCCCTTAGCCGAGGGGCTAATCTAGGATTGCAGGCTTGAACCACAAACATGCATGCACACAAACGCACACACCTGTCGCTCAACCTAAAAAGCACACAAGTCTGTGTGAAAGCGAGCTCACGGTGCTGTGTATTGCATCTTATTTCCTGTAAATCATTACAGGGATGATGTTATCAAGGTTTCCTGGGTCTTTTTGGTTCAAACGCACAAACTCACTCACTCGCAAACTCTCTTCTTGCTTTTTATCATTCTATCTCCCTCTTTCTTTCTTTTTCCAGTCCGGCAGGCAAACAGTTTTTTTGTGCCTTGTGTCTGTAGAAGGTCTGATAAACAAATCTAATAAGTGTTGATTCAAAGTTTAGAGTTCCTCCCTTTTATTCATCAGCTTCACCAAGGGTTTTATTGCCATGTCATTTATTATGAAAACGTAATTTCATGAACACTGACTTATATATATATGTGGTCTGCAGGTCTGACAGCTGTGGGTGGTCTGTCCCTGATGGGAGGGGGCTACTTGCCATCTAGTAGTGCAGAGACACTGGCCGTGCTTGCTGCCTTCATCTCTTCAGTCAACATTGCTGGTGAGTCACCTAAACGTCTCATAGCGACTTCTGCCAGTTATACCAACGCTGAGCCAAAAATCTCAACATAAGCTGGTGATCGACTTGGTTTGTGTCAATTCTACCATAACATAATCTAAGCTCACCCGTCTGTTCTAACCAGAGTCAGTGGTTAAGGCTTGGACCACACACATCCAGTCATTTATCTCCAGTTGCAATTATAAATAATTCCTGAAATTATTAGTATACTCATCACTCTCCTAATTGCCATGGGAAGTGTGTTCTTCCACACTTAATTCTCTGTATGCAAACTGGAGGCCTTCATGGGATACTGGTCCAGTTAGATGAACATTTGTCAGGCATAGTAAAACTGTCCATGTTAAAGTAGGGCAGGGCAATATGAAAAAAAATCTAATATCACAATATATTTGGCTATATCGCGATACACAATGCATATCACGATATGTTTAAATTACCTTCAAAACAATAGAGTGTATAAAATTGCACTGATATACTTCAAACTTCCATCTATTCCATCTATTTTCCTTCACGCTTATCCCAAGCGGGGTGTTGAGGGGTGCGAGAGGCAGGTACACCCTGGACAGGTCGCTAGTCCATCACAGGGCAACACAGAGACACACACGACAAACAACCATTCACGCACACACTCACACGTATGGACAATTTAGAGAAGTCAATTTGCCTAACAGAAAGACCCTGGACCCGGAATCGAACCCAGAACCTTCTTGCTGCAAGATAGCATTGCTACCCACTGCCCCACTAAGCAGTCCTTCACCCAAACTTTGGTTTCAAATTCAAAATTAATTTTTACTAGCTCAAAGCTTTTCACTTATAATGCTGCCACATTATGTCTTTCGGTGTCAGTATTAGATCTTTAATAAGATCTCATCAACCACACTGGAAAAAAGCGAAGACACACAATACTTAAACGAGCCATAGAATGCAAAACCGAGTTTACATTGTCTTAGATGAATAACGATAGTTCAGTTGGTAAAATGGACGTCCAGAGAAGTTCGAACCCTATCGACACCTCCTTTCTCTGCAAATCTCACTATTCCAATCTTTCACCATAAAACAGGCGAATCCAAACAAAACGATGTTGCCTTATTTGGTTCTGGCCTGTACTTTCGTCACACCCTGAAACTGACATACAGACCAGCCCACTGGTTCACTGGCCCAAGAACATGAATAGAGGAAAATGTAAGACACCAGTTTAGCTGTTTAGCCTACAGTTTCTCTATTACAAATTAGCCAGAACCATGCGGTGCCCGGTGTGTTTAGACTACGTGCTGCACAGTAGTCGACCAAAAATCCTGGACCATTTTGAATTTCCCCCCGAACATTTTTTTAGGCATGAAAATTAGGACATTTCTGGGGAAAAAGAGGACGACTGGTCACCCTACCATTTCAATAATCTTGATGTTTCAGTGAGTGAGTGCTTGTCGCTATGATGCGTCTTTGCTCAGCAGCTTGGCTCGTTGTAAACCAACCAATCAGCGCACAGCTCATCTAAATATTCATGATCATACCATAAAAGGAAGAAAACCTGTCTTTTCATTCTAAGGCTTATAACCAGGCTTGCATTAGGGCCCATAGAACAGCAAATATGCCATTTTCAGCCCAACCAATCTTACACACCCTATTCAGAGACCTTAAGGACCAGCACCAAATACCCTATATGATCATACCCTATATAATCATGAACTCCTTAAATAAAATTTAAAATAAAAAAGGGTTATTTTGTGCATAAAAAAATGCAGACTGAAAAAAGTAAATAACCTCAATTTACAAAAAGAAAAGTTGAAATACGGTCCAAAAAATTTGAGCATTATCTCAAACATATTTGCATTGACCTTTACGTGCTGGGAATTTTAAAGTAACGCAAAAAGTTGTAAAATTTAGAACATTGCCAAGTTTATAAAATGCCTGCAAAACACCTTAAGAAGACCACAACACATCACAGGTATTAGAGTTTTTAAAAAATTTTAAATAATGTAATAAATAGCTTCTGTGATTTCCCTGCATCTCTTCCTTTTTCTCTCATATGTAATCACTTTTTCAGTTAACGAGTCTAATGTCATCGGCTTCACAGCTGATTTATCTAAGCTTTTAATTGGTGTGCGGGGAGACGCTGACATGCGGGGTTTACAACATTCTTCATTTTGCAGCTGACGACTTTTTAGGTGGTGGAATAAATTTGTACTGCTATCTTTTTCTAATGACCGCCTTTTTTCGACTTCCTCGGCATGAAATCCAAACCACTGCCATATATTGCGTAGCTGAAACACCTGCTCTGGCCATATTTTGTTTGCTGGTTGCTGTAGTGTGCATGCCGCACAAAACATAATCCTTTTTGGAGGAGGGGCTTATGATGCATTCAAAGTGTGTGGAGAAAATAAAACTGTCAAATAGATGCAGGTGGCTTACTGTCATGTGAATTTGTACTCAATGGTTGCGATACAGTCATTTTAACTATTGTTTGTGGGGAAACTCAAAATTCTTTGAGTATATATTCGATATATTGCTCAGCTCTACGTTAAAGCATACTCACTGCAATATATTGATAATTTTTTTTTTTTTTTCAATTAAGTCAATTGAATATTTTGCTTTTTCCCCCCCCGTCTCCCTCCAAGGTGGTTTCCTGGTGACCCAGAGGATGTTGGACATGTTCAAACGGTCTACTGATCCTCCTGAGTACAACTACCTCTATCTGCTTCCAGCGGGTGTTTTTGTTGGAGGCTACGCTGCTGCTCTGCAGTCTGGATACAACATTGAACAGGTGCAGCAAGATGCTGATGCCACGTCTCCCTTTTCCCTTTGAACTCCCCCTCTCAAAAATAGTGAAAACAGACATTTGAGTGTATCCCTTTATTGATCCAGATGGTGCACAGGAATTTCCAGCTGAAATTATTGGATCTTTATTTTTCCCTTACAGATGATGTATTTGGGCTCTGGTCTGTGTTGTGTCGGTGCCCTTGCTGGTCTTTCCAACCAGACCACAGCTCGGCTGGGTAACGCACTGGGAATGATTGGAGTCGCAGGAGGGATTGCTGCCACTCTGGGTGCCCTTAAACCAAATCCTGAGCTCCTGGCACAGATGAGCGCAGCCATGGCTGTGGGTGGAACTGCTGGTAAGAGTGTTTTCCTTTACTTTAACAGGATAATCTGAGAGACTCTCAGGGAAAACCTGAATACTCGCAGAGCAGTGTTGCAGCAGATGGACGCAAGTTTTGTGTTGTTTTCCAAGCTTGGGAAAGTTACAAAGCAGGTGTGCAGAGAGTTTGTGATGTTTACATCAAACACAGCATGACTAACTCCAGCCAGATGCTGGAGGTCTGTCAGAAAAACCAGCATCAGTTATTACTCACTTTCTCTCTTCGCTTTGGGACAGTTGGAGCATTAAAATGCTAATTGTTCCAGTAACAAATCTGAAGACCAGACTAAACTATCTACGCAGATAATAATGCTCTTTACCAGATATAGCTTTGTTGAAAGGCTTCCTGCAGGACATGTGTGTCCACAAACACACTCATTGTAGAACAACAGAAACTATTCCCAAAGTGGGCCTCATCAGCAGCACCTGGCTCTTCCACAGGGCCCGTTTCCCAGCAGTGCTCTGAGTGTGCGTGCTCGTGATTCTCGTGGTTTTTATACCCAAGACCCCAAGGGGCATTCTGTTTTATTTATTCATCTTCTTTTTCTTTCTGTCTCCAGGTTTAGCCATCGCTAAGAAGATTGAGATCAGCGACTTGCCTCAGCTTGTTGCTGCGTTCCACAGCTTGGTCGGGCTGGCTGCTGTTCTCACCTGCGTGGCCGAATATATGATCGAGTACCCTCACTTTGCCACGGACCCCGCAGCCAACCTTACCAAAATAGTTGCTTACCTCGGCACTTACATTGGCGGGATCACTTTCAGCGGCTCTTTGGTGGCATACGGCAAACTGCAAGGTGAGAAAGAGAGACCAGTCGTTCGCAGCACTGTAACCATCTGAACCTATTCGCTGCTTAACCCCCACTTATGGAAATGATGTCTGTCACTACAGATCGGGATATAAATTTTTTTTTTTGATGCTCCACGGTACTTCATGGGTGAAGCTTATTAAAAACTAAATGCTTTGGCCTTTAGCTTTTTCTTGGTAATTCCAATGTGCTATGGGTAAATGTTAAACTTTAGAACTCCTTATAAATCTGAAAAAAATAAAAATAGGAATTAGTTCATCCATCTATGTATCTGGATGTGCATAATCAATCTTTGTCCATCTTCTGTTTGGTCTTTAATGCATCCATTTATTGATCACTAAATCCATTTATCAGTCATACATTTTGTCATCCCTACATTTTTCATCCCTTTTGTACTATTTGTCCATCCATTCTCCTCTCCATCTTTTTGTAGCTTCTTCTGTTTGTTTTTCTGTCCATTAATATGGGGCATTTTATTATGTATACTTTAAAAACTCCCTAAAAAAGGTTAAGAATTCTCTGACCTGGAAGCTGCAACGGCATGGAAAATTAAAATAACCTACATAGAAACCTGGCTTGAGATTAGGGTTGCTACTAACAATCATTTTGCTAATCAGTTAATCTGTCGATTATTTTTTTCAATTAATAATCTGATAGCAAAATTTCCTTGAAGAGTTTTTACAGAATTTAAACGAAGGGAAACTTGTACTCTTAAGAAGTTCTGTGTGGAGCATATTAATGGACTAAGAATTTTTTTTTTTTTTTGATATTTTAAAATTTTGTTATAATTTCTCCTCTAAATTGATTGCTCTGTCAGCTAAGGGCATGTTTTAAAGTCTCTATACTCCATATACTTGAATCTGATTGTTTCAGTCCTACTTGAGATTCTTCATCAGAGAATAGTTCCTTGTGACCACATGAATTACTTTCAACTGAATGTAGTAAAACCTCCCTTAGGTTACCTTGAGGAACTTGAGGGAGAACTCAAAACAAAACACATACAGTTGGTAGAGAATTTCCCCTGATCTCTTGAGTTGAGTATAATAATTGTAAATGAGAAATTCTCAGGGCACAAAGACTGCTCTAACCCACTAGGCCAGGGGCGGGCAATTCCAGTTCCTGGGGGCCGGTATCCTGCAACTTTTTGATCCATCCTTGGTCCATCACACCTGAATCAGATGGTTGAGTTACCTCCTCAGTAGGCAGTCAGTTCCTCCAGGGTCCTCTCAATCATCTAATGACTTGATTCAGGTGTGTTGATCCAAAGGCACATCTAAAAGTTGCAGGATACCGGCCCTCAGGGACTGGAATCTCCCACCCCTGCACGAGGCCACTGGTGCTAATTGGTGCCAATCCTTCTGATGTTGGCCCTGATGAGCAGATTAGAGGAGGCCTGTCATTGTTGTGGGCCATTTAGTCTTGCAGTCGTATCATTTATTATTACTTGCAGTAATGTAACCTCATTATTATGATTACATTTTAGTTTTATAGAAGGATTTTTGCTTTAATATATTTATATATAATGGTTAAATAGAAAATTTTATTTTATTGCATCATCATGATAAAAACACACTGGAGATTGGATTATCTGTTTTTTTTTTTATCGCTTTGTCCCTCTTGTTTTGTTTTTTTTTCTCAGGTATGCTAAACAGCGCTCCTTTGATGCTTCCTGGTCGCCACGCTCTCAATGCCACTCTCATGGCAGCTAGCGTCGGTGGTATGATTCCCTACATGCTGGATCCCAGCTACACCACAGGCATGACCTGCTTAGGATCAGTTTCCGCCCTCTCTGCTGTCATGGTATGCTTCACCAGTTTATTTCTTACCTCTCTTGTAGAGAAGAAAAATCCGGACATGAAGATGTTTAGGTTAAACTGTAAGAGTGCAGTTTGAACCCCAGTTATGACATCGTTTTTGGAGTCAGAGAAAATTTTTGCTGTGGTGGGGAAAAAAAGTTTTTACAGAAAAGAAGATGAACAACAAAAGTGGGTATTTTTAGTAGATGCAAATTTACAGGAAGCAGGCTGCCTGGGAATTTGGAGTGGAGCAGAGAGCTGGAAGTCACAGGCAAACAGATTCGACATGGTCCTGAGCAACTAATAAGATCTCAGCGCCTAAAGGTTTGAAAGGTTTTGAGCCTGTCTGATACATCAACAAGCAGAAGCTCCTAATGAAGGCTGGAACAACAAAAAGATTTTTTTAGCCGTTCTTTTTTTTTTTATCCATTGCCTATTTACCTAAGCAGCCTTGTATTGTTGAAAATGTTTGTAAGGATATTATTCATAAATTTGAATGAAATACAAAAAAACTATATATGTTGAGATGGTTTGAACAGAACATGGGTGCTACTATCCTGCAACTTTTTGATGCACCACATTTTTAACACACTTGAATGGCTGGCAAATGAGTGGCTCCTTTTCATGCCTCTGCTGAGCTAAATGAGGGGATTGAGCCTTTAGATTCAGGTGTTTTAGAAAAAACCTTTCGGACAGAGGCCCTCGACCACCGACTTTGGGCATGCCTGATAAGGCTATGTTCACAAAGCAGCCTGAAGTGACCCAAATCCATTTTTTTTTTTGCACATCTGGACCTGTATCTGATCTTTTCATGGCAGTCTGAATGACACAGATCTGATTTTTTTCAAATGCGACCTGTGGCTGAACGGCCAGGTCGCATTCTTCCGACCTAAAAAACATTAATATTTAACAAAGGTCCCTGTGGGACGATAATGCGGAGAGCAGTCTTTTTTCCCCAATCCTCTTGAAAAGATTGTTAATGCACTGGCTGAGGTTGGGAGAGATGCGCTCCAGCGCTACCATCCGTCTTTACTTCTGCAAACACAGAGCACGCTTGCTTTTAAAGTCATTTCATCCTCTACTGCTCATGAGGGACACTTATGTTGTATGAACGCAGTTCACACATGAGATCACATACAAATCGCATATATTTGGAAATGTGAACAACCGTGCAAAAGAATCGGATTTCACAAAAGAATCAGAAGTGAGAGTTAATACCTACCAACCAGTAACTATTAGGCTACGTTCACAATGCAGGCATTGAGGACTGGAATCGAAGTTTCTGGCTTTTTCTTTTGCTTAAGTTTTGCATTTTAATATGATACTTCTGAAAATTTTAGACTTTAGACCATGATTTATAGAAGAAATGAAGCAAATCCAGTGTTTTGCACATGTTGTTGCCTAATTCAGCAGCTGGAGTCTCGGTTTCATTTCATCCAGCAATAGGGATTATTGATTATTATATCAGTTTCTTTATCTTGTGGGCCTAATCAGTATTTCAAGTACAGTATTATGAATCATCTACTGTACAAATCTGTGTGCATGTGTGTGTTACACTAGTAACTAGTAAAAAAATACTCCTTGCATGTGGTCAGAAGGAACCATTTATGATGTCTGAACAGAAATTAATGAAACGCTCGGTTAGTTTTGGAAGAGCCGCTACTTTGGTTACGACAGTTGGCCCCTGTAAAACAGCAACTGTGCAGATGATAAAAGGACAAAGAGCATGTGCATCTAATTGTGAAAAATAGTTCCTTTGTTGGAATTTATATATTTTTTTTAAGAGGCAAAATTTAACAATATCAGATCACAAACCAGCTGGTTTTATTAGGAGAGTTCAGAGCAAATTTCTAGTTTTTTGTTATTCATGGCTTTTAAATATAAGGCAATGATAGATAGGAGGTATAGGATAGTAGACCCAAGTCAGAAACAGTTATGGTTTGGTAAGTAGTCCACTTTAACCTTTTTTGTGTGCCTGCTTAATTAATGATCAACAACCAAATCAATTTAAACACTAACATAAAACTCTATTATGTAGCTTATATAATTATATATATATATATATATATATATATATATATATATATAGGAATGATAAAATGATACCTCTCTTAGACAGGATTTGCCCATGCCAGTGTGATCCCACATTAAAGGTTGTAAAATCAATACCATGCAAGCACTTGAAGACTGTATATTTACATAGCATTTAAAATAGCTCCTAATTTTAATTTAAGATGCTATTGGTGAGCACACATAAGTAACTTGTAGCAATGATGTTTAGTATTTTTTTAAATCAAGGACGTTTCATTAAGCTACTTAAGGTAAGCATCCGAAAGACATCTTGGTTACCCGTCTTGTATGTGATAGCCAGAGGTGATCCTGTGGGTCTTTATCTTGTTTCTCTGCTTCCAGGATTAGCAGACTAAAAACATCTAAATGTGCCTTGTGGTCTCTGCCTGTGTGCTTTATCAGTGGCCTCCAAATGTTGGCTCACAAGCCACATATTGAGTTAGCTTAAGCTCTTTCACCATGTCTTGATTTTCTTTTCTCAAACAGCAAAGTAATTTATGGTAATGTATGTTTTGTGGTTCCTATAACTGGAAGATCTCCAAGTGTCTGACTTGTATCTCTGCACCAGCAATATGCCTGCAACCTGAAACAGTGTCGCTGTTGCAGAAGAGCAAAGTTCATTTCCAACAAGTTTCATTAGGCAGTAGTTAGGCTGCAGTAGGAGCCTAGAAGGAAAAAAAACGTATCAAGTTTTGACCTTCTTTAGTTCCCTCCCTCCCTCCTTTCTTTGATTAAAATACATTAAAAGAAATACTGTTGTCTGTCATTTTATTCTAGTTTTGTTCCAAAAACACCCCTTTTGGTAAATCGTTTTATTCTCTCTCCTCTCCTGCAGGGTGTTACTCTGACAGCAGCTATTGGAGGAGCCGACATGCCAGTGGTCATTACTGTACTCAACAGTTACTCCGGCTGGGCCCTGTGCGCTGAGGGCTTCCTGCTAAACAACAACCTGCTTACCATCGTTGGAGCTCTCATTGGCTCATCTGGAGCCATTCTGTCATATATTATGTGTGTGGTAAGTTGTTTGAATTTGCATCGTCAAACAAACTAACTTAATTCATAAGATTTTGTCTTACTATTTTCAATAATTATATTACCAATGTGAAAAATACAGACATAAAAGAAAAAAAACTAAGTTTGTTTATAATTATTTGGTAAGGGTACCGCCATGTTGCAATACTCCAAGCGGTGAGATCACGGGTTTGTCAATGCTATCACTAAAACCAGCTATACTTCAAAACCATAAAACACTGAAGAAAAAAATGGTTTGATGGGAGAAGAAGCTGAAAAGACACCAAAGCATCAGCAACAACCAGCCATAAAGACAGGGTGTAAAAGCGCGCTAAGCAGGCAGAGCAGAGTTTAGTTCCAGCAGTGCCCTTAGTTCCCCAACTTAATCATTACTTGAGCCTTTTATTAAATACAGTTTTTATAACTCAAGAAGCAGCCATCAGGAACAATATAAATGCAATATAGGGTCCCTTATTCACAGGCTACCACAGCAGGTCTAAACCTCTAGAGAAATCGTCTATTTCTTACCATGATTCCTCACTTCCAAGGCAGGCAGTCAGCTTATCTGTGTTCTCCTTCACTATCCTGCGGACTTTATTCTTGAAATGTGTTTATCGGTTGCTCCAGTTTTTCTACTTGGACCTTCAGCGTCACCATGGCCATCTCCAAAACTTCCACCTCTCTGCACATTAACCTAGCAAACATTGGTTAAATACAATTACAACTCAACCAACTAGTCAAGGTTAGCCTCCTGACCGCAGATTGGCTCCATCACTTTTTATCGGTAAACAGCAGCCCCACCAGGTAGCGTTGACACCCCGCTCTGCCCAAATTTCACGCACTGGTGTCAGAAATCCACCATAGCTCATCCATATGGAGTGCTATTAGTCTGCGCATCCTATCTTTTTGTCAAGTGCATGTGCGTACAGATTGCACATTACAGGTTGCAGATAGACAACACTATATGGGTGCAGGAACGACTCTTTACCACTTTAAATAAAAGCCTGTTTAGACTGCTTTTAATCAACATATTTTCTTTGCCTTCTCATGATATTTAAGGTGAATTTTATAAGGGCAGGAAAAAGTAAATATTCCTGTCTCTTCAGGCCATGAATCGTTCACTTGCTAATGTGATCCTTGGAGGTTACGGCACATCCTCCACTGGTACAGGAAAGCCCATGGAGATCACAGGGACACACACAGAGGTCAACGTGGAGCAGACTGTCGACATGATTAAAGAGGCTCAGAGCATAATCATCACTCCAGGTAAAACACACAGGGGTCTGGTACATGAGTGGAAAAACACGATGCTTTGACCTTTCTGTTCACCTTTCCTTCCAGGGTTAAGCAAAGATTGTTTTTTCTTTAATCTCCCTTTCTCTAATTTTGTATCACAACTATTATTAAGAAAACGTGGCTGTAGTTGATTTGTCAGGCTTGATGCAATGGATTCAAACACAACTTTGTTTCGAATTTTTCCTATATTTAGGTTGACGAAGGAATGTGTGACAGCCTTCCACAGTCTTAGCTTTAAAGTGGCTGTTTCATGTATTATTGGGTGGCCCAGAAAAAAACCAAAACATTTCAGTCCTTTCCATAAGAATGTTGTGATGCCGTCCCGTTCCAAAGAGCTGCCTTGATCGCATGGGTACATGTAAACACAGACTAAAAGCACCTATTCTCCAAATTGGCCATTCCAGTCATAGAGCACAGTACCAATTTACAAAAAAACTTCAGAGGAAATCACAGTAATTTACAAGAATTGCAAAATTACAGCACTCCCGTGGCCCAGTAGCAGAGAATCGAGGCATCAAATGTAGGTTAAGTTATTCAGCTTTCCACTCTAAAAATATCTGAACAAAAACAAAGTTCAAGCTTAAAGTAAAAACAAATAATAAAGATAAAAATGACTGACTCAAACCTGATAAAGGGGATTAAAATAAAACAATATATATATATATATATTTTGTTTGTTTGTTTTTTTCTTCATAAATCAAAAACCAACAAACATGCTGGGTGACCAAATAGCTAATTTTAAACTAAATCCCATTTTCATATAATGCAAAAGCATGCCCAAATATCATCCTGCAACTAATAAGTCGAATGTGTTTTGTGAGACATTTCAATTTATTTAAAATATCCAATCTGGATTAAAATGATAAAACAAAAATTTAAAATAGGAAAGGTTAAAAAAATAAATTCAGTCCGACTCAAATGTGTACCCTCTAACACGTGTAGTGTTGCATTATAAACATTTGGAATACAACAGTACCTGCTGGAAACGATACCATAAATAGCTAATACTTGCCTGTGCTCTGCCTAATAGTGTTGCATCATTATGCTGTGCCAGCTTTTAGTCATTGCCCGTGTTTCCATTCAAACCGTTCTTCCTAATTGGAGCCGTCACAGTCGCTTTGGCTGATTGACGTCTGTGGAAACACTTAAGGCCCTGTTTGATAAACAGAAGTGTTTTTCTGGCTTTTGTCTGAACCATCTCTTCATGGTCTGGAACCATGTGTTTTCCTTTACGCAAGAAAACCCGTGAGAATATTGGCAGCAAAACTGGCAAAAGAAATACCGTAAAGAGAGGTAAGAAAGTGAGAAATAGTTTGGTTGGAAGACGGATAAGTGTGTTTTTATAGAGGTTTTTGCGGCACGTCGTCTTGACTGATGTGTTGTAACAGGACAGCTTTGGACTGCCTGTTGTGGCAAGGCTTGTAAACATCACTGAACCATTTGACGCATGTTTGTGTGCGAGATAAAAATCTAACACCATACACCTGTGTTAAAATTTTCCAAAAGCGGAGCATCCATTTTTTTTTTTTTTACTTATCTATTTATTTTATGATTTGAGAAGAAAACAATGTTTACATCACATTTACAGCATAATCCCTAACAAAATCAAAACATTGTTTTGTTTTTGTTGCTCCGGTACTAAATATGGTTGCACATAATAACAGCGAGGGGGAAAAAAAATGTTATTGTCCACTGAAATCTCCCTGTAGGAATCACTACAGCAGTGCTGCTTATGCAATTATATAGAGACAAATGGGGCTAATTAGACTATTTGTTATTATTAATTAAAAAAAAAAAACATCCAAGAGAAATTGAATAATTACTAACAAACAGAATAAACTCCTTGTTACAACTTAAAAAAAAATTATTTAGGAATGCAGGATCAGCTAAATGAGATCTTGATGGTCTGATTGAATTATACTTATGTTTTGTGTAATGTTTAATTTTCTTCTGGCTACAGGGAAACTTAAAGACATTTAGCAACTCCTTTATGTGATAAAATAAAATCCTCTGTACCTGCAGGATGAAAGTTGGCTTTTTTTGCTTTAATGTTTTAGTTTTTTTAAGGTTTCAACTTAAATGGAGCAAATGATCACCATGTAATTCCTATTCAACGGCATGTTTCAGAGGCAACTTGACATCGGCGATGCGAAGGATGTGTATCAAGCGCCTAATTGGTGCTTCGGACCTACAGAGAGAAGCAGCACTGTAAACATTGGATTGATTGAGCTAAGCGAAATTTTGCAGAAGCTAAATAATCCTGAACTTCTCCCCTAATGTGCATTATCTTAACCAGTTAAGGAACCGGATTTTGTTTCAGAGTGGAGTTAAGTAGTGTATTGGATACAAATCTTTTCACTCAAAGTCCCCAGAGCCGGTTGATCCGTCCTCCTGCAGCGGCAGAGCACATCCTAGAACAGGTGATAATACTAAGCGAAACTGGAGCGGACCTAGTGAGGCTCACGCTGTTGTTTGGCTTTCAAATCCCCACATAGTTGCGTTACTTGCTCTCAGCCATAGTAAGTTAGACACAAATACAGTAACCAGTGTTGCACCATATACTGTGCCCCTTCATAAATTGTGACCCATGGGCCCAGAACACCAATAACCAGATAGACTCTCCTCCTTTTTGATTATGCTTTGATGTTAGCAGGCAGGAATTTCACTGTGATGTCTGCATAATGTCAAGTGACTAACACCAGGCGACTGGAGCAGAAATTTTTGTTCAGTGTAAACTCACCTCTAAATATTCACAAATCTCTGAAACAGGTTTAACAATTAACTCATTTCTCCCTTGTTTTGTTTTAAAATATTTTAGGTTATGGACTTTGTGCTGCAAAGGCCCAATACCCAATCGCTGAGCTGGTAAAGATGCTTGCAGAGGCTGGAAAGAAAGTCAGGTAAGATTGAGATTAACTTGGTCTCAATCCACAGCTGGCTTAAAGCAGCGTCATCTTTAGCTGTGCATGTTCAAACCTTTTTGGACTGTTGTAACATAAGCACAACCAGAAGATATCAAGCTTATTTATTTATTTATTTATTTATTTGAATAGGGACAAAGCACATTAATGAACATCAGTACAAAAACAAATGTAATAAATATGCTGGATTATAGCTACAAAGCTAGTTTTCATCCGCAGTCCCTAGGCAGGCAAATACATAAGAAAGAACATATAATATACAATATAAGCATCACAAGGAAATGTTAACAGTTTAGTGGTCACATGACTGGTTTGTTTTCATTTGTAGTTTGAGTTGAGCTCTAAAGCTGATCAGTGTAGGGCTCTCCCGTATGTGCAGATATCTGATGTGGTGTGAAAGAAATGTTCAATCCAAAAGTGAAAAATATTTCCGGACTAACGGGTGAATCTTAAAGAAAGCAGATGTTTGCAGTGTAAACATTACAAATTCAAAGGGTAAATGTAGGAAATCCTGCCATTAAACCAGGTTTTTTAGTGCTGACTGGTGCCACCTTTTGTTGAAAATAGATCTCCATTATGCGTAGAAGCAAATTTACACAAATGTTTGTTGTGCACATTTTTAAGCAAACTATTGTTCCAGTTAACGATCCATTATTAACTGAACATAAAAAACTTGGAACAACCATACTTTAGACCTTTAGTAGCTTACCTTGTCTATAGCAGGGATCTTAATTTCCAGTCTTTAACATCCTGTGTCTTAAACCTTTGAAATGTTTCAACACACATGATCAGGTCAATAGCATTGCTGATGAGAACTTGGCTCATTCCAAATTGGGCAAATTCTAGCCCCCACTTCTATTCTGAGCTCCTATTCCTTCACCTTTCTGGGGTCAACATTGGGGACACAGTGTAGGGTCGGAAAAGAACTCCATACTGCTTTGCTGAAACCAGACGGACTTCAGCCTCATGGATGTCTGGAAAAAAAGAACTATAAAACAAAAGTTACTCAAATGTACAGAGCGACCGAAGCTCCATTATAAAACCCAAAACATGCAGGTGTGCATTTGCAGTTCACATAGTCACAAAACAATGTATTGTTGTTGGACTACATCATGTCACACAAAGGATTGTGGGCAACCATATAACTCCTGTGTGGCTGATAGGAATATAGAGAGGTCCCTATACTAATTTAATTATCAATGGGAAGCATATTCCCTCCTTTTCTTACCTTCCTTCTTGCCAGCCCAATTTAGATGGCACTCATCAGGGCCACTGCTTACACACTTCTACTTTGGCTTAAATTTCCTTACCCTTCTGTTTTTTCAATGGCCTTTTTGTAACATTTATGTCTGATAAATTTGAAACTAAACTATTGGCCATAAAATTCAGTATTAATGTAAACGAATGTCAATGATCTATAAGTTTTACTTTTGTAATTTTAATTAGTGGAATAAATTAACTTTTTATTGATAATGTCATTTATTGATTATCCTTTCTAAAAGATAGTCTGAACTGAACTGACAGTTCTAATGGGGCCTTCAGTAGTTTGCAAGTCCCCTGGGCTTTGATTAAATCTGTGCTTAACAAAGAGGTCCTTTTGACCTACTTAAAGTTGGAAAAGAGGGACAGAAAAAGTCTAGATTTTCTGTTGAAAATTGACTTTCCAGGTGAATATATTTGAATGGAAAAATGATATAAATGTGTGCATTTTAATACAGGTAAGAAAGGATGTCACTGCTCTCATTTGGTTGATAAGAACTGGGGTTGCATGTAGAGACCAGTGTGTGTTTGTAAAGAAGGAAATGCTAACGAGGGACAGAAAAAGGTACAGCGGAACCTCGTTTAATTTTCCTGCCTCTGCCGTTTGATCCCGGCTGGTGCAGCTGCTGCTGCTTAGAGCATTTGTGCCTGATTAGAGGAAAAGTGGGTGGTCAAAGAAAAGAGGAGAAAACATTCAGTTTTTTTTTTCTTCTGTTTTGTCTTCTTACTCTGTTTTCCTAATTTATACTTTTATTCCCAACAGCCTGTATAATCGCTTGTGTCTTTCTTCTGTCTTAAGCAATCCCCCTTTCTGATGTTACTGGTTAGGTTCAGCAGTAACAACACAAAATGCTAATTCTTCTCTTTAAGATCAAAGCTTCACTTTCTTTTCCACAAATCCCTGTCCATAATGCACACAGATTAACTTGTTTGCCAGAAAGTAAGTTCGACGAAGAGAACAAGGAGCCTGCTGCTAATGATCTAAACTGATTACATGTCATGGTTAATTGAGTTTGAGAGCTGTGCACAAGTTACAAACAAAGAGAGCACACTAAATAGATGATGTCTGTGGAGGAGGGCTGGGGGAGTTGGATGTAAACAAATGGTGGTTACAAATATCTTTCAGCTCAATTTGTCAATAAATTCTTTAGTTTTTTTGTTTTTTCGGGTGCCTTACTCCTTCTCTGTTCAATAGGTTTATTGTGATTAATCTTTGTCCGCCACTGACACCATTCCACTCCTTTGGTCCTATTGTTTTTGTAAAGGAAGGATTTTCTGCAAAGTAAGGACCTAAAGTCTGTTTTTTTTTTTTGCAGGTTTGGTATTCACCCTGTCGCCGGCCGTATGCCCGGACAGCTCAACGTGCTGCTGGCTGAAGCAGGCGTCCCCTATGACATTGTCCTGGAAATGGAGGAAATCAACGAGGACTTCCCTGGTGAGTCGGGTTATGACTGCTGTGATACCTTTTAGTTTAGCATTTCAATGAAAAAGTAAGTAGTACATATACATTTATTTTATTTCTTATTTATTTAATCAGGACAGAGTACATTAATGAACAATCTTATACTTCTGTACAGATTGTAAATGATCCAGATTATAGCATATTTACATCTAATATACATCTGTCGTCCTGAGGCAGTAAGACAAAACAACACAAGATCACAAAATACTATATCAGTCAAAACACAGACACATGTTCAGACAAAGACATTACAACAAATGATGATGATTGTTTAACTTATAGCACTAATGACAAATTTACCAAGACATGACCATTTGGACTATTTTGGAATTTTGACATTTTATTTGAAATGTTATATCCCCCTGCTTTCAGAGTTGAATCTATCCATAAAAAGTTGTTTATTTCATAAATATTTTCAAAAATGTTTTCGTCCCTCTCCTTTTAGTCTTACTTGTTTGTGTACTTTAAGTCATTACCTCCTGTATTTATCCTTTCTCCCTGATATGGTTCTTCCTTTCTATCTTTCTCATGTTTTCCTATGTCATCCCTTCTTTTTATACTTCATGGGTTATGATCCCTCTCCTTTTGCTCATCATGTCTGTCTTTTCTACTGTGATTTTGTTACTTTCTTAATTCATTTGTACATAATTTCTCTACTGTGTTCCTCCTTCTTAACCTCCATTTTGTTCTCACCTTTTTCTTTCTTTTGTTCATTTTCAGCTCCTTTCCTTTTTTCTCCCTTGTGTCCTTTCTATTATTATTCTATAATTGACTCCTAACTTTAATCTTTCTTTGATTTCTTCTTCCATCCATCCTAGCTTTTTCTAGTAAAAAAAATAAAATAAAAAAAATAAGGTGAACATCTATAATGTTCGTTTGTTTGCTTACCTCCTTTTAAAAATGGAGATGCAGTGACTCCACCTGCTTAAATGATCCTGCTCTTCTCAATCTAATCAGATGCATCTGAGTTTAATTTCACCTTCTCCTCGTAAAAAGTATGTAAATTATCTGTCATTTTTAAGCTGTTTTATGGCAACCTAATCCAACATTTACAAGACATGTACAGTAAATATAAAAAGCAGCACTACAGGTGTGGAACACATGGTCCTTTTAACCTTTGATATGTTCCATGTGCAAACAGAAACTGACCTGGTTCTGGTGATCGGTGCCAACGACACAGTGAACTCTGCCGCCCAAGAAGACCCCAACTCCATTATTGCTGGCATGCCCGTCCTGGAGGTCTGGAAAGCGAAACAGGTGAGACATCTGTTATGGGCGTGATAATGAGATCTGTCTCAAACCCCAGAGAGATGACAAGAGGGAAGTTTTATTGGTGAATCGTCTGCATCTGCGGGCCATCATTGTTATGAATGCAGGTGCACTTTCATGCTGATCCTATTATAACAGTTTGTCCTTGTGAAATGACAGCATGCAGAGCATCCCATTGGTGTGAAGCGAAGAGCTGGAATTCATTCTTCAGTTTTTTCCATAAACATTCGCTCTGGAGATATGAAAGAAAAATTATAGCTTAAAGTAAAATGGCTCAAGTGTGGATTTGAATAGTTAAAGCATGGTGGCGTTATGATTGTCCTAAAATTAAAAGGTTTCTGGTTACCTTTAAATTGTTTTTAAAACGTTTTTCCCTAATGATCATCATCTTGGTGTTTTTTCCCTGAAGGTCATCGTGATGAAGAGATCCCTGGGTGTTGGATACGCAGCAGTGGACAACCCCATCTTTTACAAACCCAACACTGCAATGTTGCTTGGCGACGCCAAGAAAACATGCGACGCTCTGCAGGCTAAAGTCCGTGAGACTCAGAGCCAGTAATGTGACCCCCGTATTGGAGACACCTCCACCTTAGAGCACAAAGAGGAAAGATTTGAAAATTCATCTCTGTACAGCTGTAACTTCACCAACCTAGTAAAAATATAACCGAGATGAGCTTTTTTTTTTGGCATCCCCCTTCCTGTGATCTAAAAATAAATAAATGTACAGGTACTGTATGTTTCTAACTCATGTAACAATGCATCTTTTATTTTTTAGATCGGAAAGGAAGGCTGCGTTATAATGGGTGTCTGTGTGACCAAGACTCATCTTGTGATGTAAAATAAATACATTCAGGAAATTAGATACACATAAATCTTAGGTATGATCAGTTTCACTCTTGATATTTTTAGAAAATAGTTGAGCAAAAAAAAAAAAAAGCAAAAAATCTGATGAATTTGACTGAAAAAGTAAGGAATGCTCCAGCTCTTTACTCTAAAAGGTTTTCATTTCCTCTTCTCTCCACAGTTTAAGTTTAGTACTTTCATGTCCCCTTCCATTTCATTCACCTGTTAAAAAAACAAAACAAACAATAGTATAAACATGAAAAAAAAAAAATTGTACTTTGTCTTGAAGTTTAGGAAAGTATCTGCTTAAATGCTTTGCTCTTTAATGTTTGGCTCCAAAATGAAATCAGACCATAAATAAAAAGTTAAAAACCCTCCTCTGAGCCTTTTAGGGAACTGTCTTGCTCTTGCAAACACTCGTCGCTCACATTAGCTGAAAGGATTTTTGTTATGTTTTGCCACTCAGTGCTTTCCATCATTCTGTCGTGTTCAGATATTACGGTAGATAAAGGTTTTTTTTAAGTCGAAGTGACTCAGCCACTCCAGAGAGCCTTCTTATTACTGCCCCATAGAAAAAATGAAGGATCACACTTTGAAATCGGGGCTATTTGTTAACCTGTTGCATCCAAATTTAAACAACTGGTTAAATTATTGCTACACAAAGAACCGTTTGTCTTTTTGTTGATTAAACATCTGCTTAATGTGCCAATTTAATACGGATATATTCTCAGATGCAGACACACGAGAATTGGCTTCTTTTTAACCGCTAGAGTATTTCAACAGAGATTAATCCCTGTAGTATTATTTTACTCCAATCATTTTTCCAGATTGTACATTGTTCATTTTTCAAATTCAAACCCTAAAGAAGTACTTTAGGACATCAATGACCATAGTTTTGTCTTGGGACCATGACATCTATCCTACCTCTCCATAAAATGACCAACGCCTCTCTGTAAGACATGCAATTTGTGTAACTAAGTCTTTAACATAATCAGACCCATTATTTTCTAATCATTCTGTTCAACAGATAGGCTCCTAAAGTTCCAAAAAAAATCAGGACCAATATTCTTCTCGTTTTTTTTCTTTGCATTTTCAGACCTCATTTTGTTTTTGTTTTTTTGCAACTGAATTGAGTGATGAGGCTGTAGCATTGTAAGATGTACAGGCAAATAGCCTTTAGAACCATTCACACCTGTAGACTGTTGCCATGTTTGAACAAATATTAGTAACAAGAAGATGAAGTAAATCTGTTATTTTCTAAGAGCGCTTCATATTTAGAACAACTTTGGGATTTGGAAGAAGAATGTTTCAATGTACCATCTTAAGAGGATGAGATGTACTGTGAATCTGTTTTTTCCCCTCTTTTGTTTGTCATGGAACAGTTCCTTCCCTAATAAAGCTGTATTTACTCTAAAGGTCTCTTGAAGGTGTTATCTCTTATCTCGACTTTCCCTATGTTTAATGTGAAGCTGTTAACAGCTTCCTGAACAAGGTTTGCTTTGAGGTTGAGTTTATTGCTTTAAGCCTGGATTTGTGTAGCCCAGCTGAGATGTTAAATATTTGCCACATATAGCTGGATTAACATGGTTTAGGGGTAGGAATTCTGTCCACACATTAAGTAAACTGAAAGCCATGTATCAGCTTTCCACATCTAGACTGACACTTTTAATCTATGTGAACTACTGATTAGCTGAATGAAAGTAGCTCCATAAATAAGGTTTTCATGATTAATTCCCACCTGTGGCTTTTAATATGAAAGTTTCGCCACAGGTTCCCCATTGAGTTTAGGTCTGAACTTTGACTAGGCCCTTAAATATACACTGAGCTAAAACCTTCCCTTTTTTTTTCTGGCTGTATGAGTAGGATTGCCATACTGAAAGATGAACCTGCAGCCCGTGGTTTTACACATCCTCCTTGTTTGTATACTTTGTGCCAGGGCAATTAATTAATCTGCAGATCTCAACTCTCAGAGGCACTTAGATTTGGTCACATTACATTTAACAGGAGTAAGAGACTGTCACTCCGGCCCTTTAGGTGGTTATAAAGGTTCACTGCAACACCAAATAAAGGAGGGTTGCAGCTTGCATGCAGAACCATGCATTCCAGTAGTCAGCACTTTTCCACACAGCACTAAGGTCCTGCTACAATGGACCATAGACATGCAAGCTTTCCATGCAATGAAACCCTGGAGAGAACAATTGCATGTTTTTGGTTAGTGCAAAATAAAATAAAAATAATATTAATTTTGGTTTTAAAAAATGCAATTTTATTTTGATTCAGTCCTAGTGCAACCAACCTGATTCAGCCTCTTGTTTGGCTGAACAACTTTCTTTAGGTTTAGAGATTTGAAGAGTTAACATCAAACAATACATTTAAGTTTAGGATATTGTTTATCAATCGAACCTGCTTTAAATATTTTAATTTTATCCCTGATCTGTCTTGTTGGTATTTATGATACTGTTGGTTTACTTATGGTCACTGAGGCTGCTTTCCCACTGAAAGTTGCTGGTTAACCTGCGACTGGCACAGACGGAGTCAGACACGACTGGCTCAATGTTGTAACGTGTTGCACTCGAGGGCATCACGGAAATTAGTGGGTTGACCTTGGTTTGGTTTTCTGTTTGCCGATCAGAGCCAAGTCCTTTAAAGGCTGTTTAACCCGCATTGCTTGCCGAGTCATTTGACACGGGTCAGTAGACCATTCCCACTGCCACTAAAAGCCAAATGTTTGCTGGTATGCATTTCCTTTAGTTTCTTGTAAAAAAAAGTTTAAACACCAAAAGTGTGTTCATTTCATAAGTGCTCTTTTTAAAGTACTCAAAAGAGAGGAAAACATTTCTTTAGACCCTAAGATGGTTTTTACAACTCAGAAAATCTACACTTTTAGCTGAGACCATAAAGTTAAACCTGTTTAAGGCCCTGAGAAATTCCTGCAGGCTGTCAATATTTTTTTCTGAAGTGTTTGTCCTTTACTTGGTGTCATTTTGCAAATATTTGTAGTTTGAAATTTAAAACAAAAGATATAGTTCAAAGATAATACAATCTATATTTTCCAACAACTTTAGCTTATCCGTATGATGTTGTATGAGTCTATGATGAGGGTTATTATAATAACTGAAATGTAAATATCTACAGGCTGCACTGATTGCTATTCATCAGTGCAGATTTACTAGAAGGTGCTTAAGAAGGTCCTGCCCAAACAGGAGATCACAGCAGTGATAGTTTTTTTTTGAAGCAAGGATTGCATGTGTGCAAGATGAGGGTGTCTTCATCCTGCAACAAGTGGCACTCAAGCCGTTATCTGCACTCAAAGTTAGAAAGATCTTGATTGGACCTATCCTCAGTAATAGGCTTAGCTCAAATTGAATAGAAAAAAAAACCCATTTGCCTAGCGTGTGATTTACTGAGGTATTTAGTTGGAGATGAAAGCCTGTTTTGAGTGTGTGGAATTCTTTTGATTGGATGTAGACATACAGGTACTTTTAGTTTTGCATGCAGCAGATGTGGAAAATGTGACTATACAATGCAATAAAGTTTAACAATGTGTGAAAACATAATTCATTTAATGTCCAACACATTTAAACCACTAATATCTTCATATATCCATTTTCATTGTAGACATATTTTACAGAAAAATAAAGGACACGAACTTGAGCTCCATTAGATCAGATCATATCAGCTGCTCTAAACAGGCTCACAGTGAGATTTAACACGAGGAGCAAACTGCTTGCATGTAGCAGTGAGTACATGATGCTAAAACATGTTTGTGAGAGCGCAGCTCTAAAATCTGTGCATAATCTTATACGTGTTGAAAGGCTCATGGATAAAACTACTGTGTGATTGAAAGGAATACAAACATGGGTGGATGTAAATGCTGCTTACAATCTGACAAGATTGCTTCAATATGAAACCCTTAAGTGAAACGATGTTGAAAGCCATCAGAGATAGCGTCATGTTTTGTGATGGGTATTAAGTTAAACTTACAGCAGTGCTTTCACTGAGAAGGACACAAAACGGTAGAGATTAAATTTTTTTCAAGTAAAAAAAAGTTGGTATCTCTGACATAGAAAATGTAATTATACTCAAAGTAGTTTAGGTAGTAATGGGTTGTCTACAGTGTTGCTGTTACAGACTGGCTGTTGGACCTTTACTGACCACCTCTGTTTTTCTTTCACTGTTAAGATGAAATAAAGATTTTTTAAAAATTGTATATTGTCCCAAAATTGGACAATCTGGGTGTAAAAGTGACAAAAACAAGTAGGCAGGACACACAAAACTGCACACACTAATAAATATCAAAAGAACAGACAAATGAAACTCCATCAATCCATTTTCTCTCCCTTAGTCCTTGACAGGGTCGTCATGGGGTCAGTGCCAATCCCCAGCATTCTACGGGCGAGAAGCGGGGTACACCCTAAACACGTCGCCAGTCTGTTGCAGGGCAACACAGAGACAAACAACCACTCTCACACACTCACACCTAAGAAGCCAATTAACCTAACAGTCATGTTTTTGGACTATGGGAGGAAGCTGGAGTACCCAGTGAGAACCCACACATGCTCAGGGAGAACATGCAAACTCCATGCAATAGGACCCCGGGCTGGGAATCTAACCCAGAGGCCCCTCTTTCCCTGTTCTTTAGTGTTTAGCGGTGTGGACATCTTTATGACAAACTTGCATAGTTTTCTTAATCAAAGTTTTGATTGGAATTGTTGGATACACGAGGATAAATTGAGCTTTTTCAGCAGTCCTTTAGACAGAGGCTGTCTTCCAGGTTAGGGGCTCATCTGTTTAATGCCCCCTGGACACCTTCCTTGGGAGGTGTTCCAGGCAAGTCCCCACTGAATAGGCCCGGGGGACGGCCTAGAACATGTTGGAGGGTCTAAGGCTGTCAGCTGGTCCTGGAGCGCTTCTGGCTTACCTCAGAGCAGCTGAGGAGGCGTCATGGGAGAGGGAAGTATGGGAGTTTCAGCTAAGATTGCTGCCCCTGCGACCCGTTCCAAAAAAAGCAGAAGACAATACAGAGTATATTGTCATTGGATTTTATAACTATTCTTCCCTTTAAAGTGCACTTTAGCATTTATATTTATTATTTTACCAGCTGACAAAATTTAAAGGAATAATCGTTTTGCCAGAAATGTTTCTTTTGAACATTTAAAAAGTGAGAATACTGTGATGACTTACTGGTCATATGGATTGCATCCATGCTCCCTGTCCTAAAATCTA